CCCACGTATGCTGGTGTAGGGTTATACATGTCGTTACGCATGAACAAAAAGCTTGTGGATGTACGTTTCATTAGTGATGGCGTAATACAAGCCGAATTTCTTACAAAACGAAGACGTCTTAGCTCTATTCAAAGGCACGCCCCGACCTCTTCAGCAGCAGATGACGAGTTTGAGCGATTCCTGGACGAACTAGAAGCTGCAAGGAAAACTGCGAAAAATAAGGCGATGCTGGAAATCATTTGTAGCGACTTTAGTGCAATCATTGGACGTTGAGGAAACAAAGGAACTGCTTGCGGGCCTTTTGGAAGTGGTAATCGGAATGATCGAGGTATTTTGCTGCTTTCATTCTGCGATTCCAATAATCCTGTAATCGCTAATACATTTTTCAAGAAAAGATTTGGAAGAAAATGGACCTGAAGGAGTCCAAACGAGAACACTCGCAGCGAAGTAGATATAAAATAGACCATATGTGCTTGATAAATAGTCCCGTAGTTTAACTGCCACGCGTTTGGACAACAGTGAAATATCAGTCAGAAACTTTATTGCTAAACTAGAATGTTACGCGAAAGACGAAGAGCCTCTGCTGAGGTATAATCTGAAGTCCCAGAAATCCTATAACACTTAACAATAATCTCAAATCTCCTTAAACCCCAAGGAATCTCAGAGCGAAACACTACTATGCTCGCTAACAAACAAGGTCGCAAGAGAAATGTGAATGTAAGCGCGAGACTGAAGAAAAGGTGATAAAAAGGTAGTCGCGACGTTANAGGCAATGTATTTAAAGCCTGCCTATGTTGTTCATACCATCGCCGTTGAGAATTTCTGATTTTTCTCCCTGATAAGTTCGCAAGCTCGCTTATGTTGTGGGAGAGAGGAAGAATTTCTCGTTCAGCACGAACTCGCGGATTCCGCGATACTCCCGGCCGCGAAGTATGGTTGCGAGCGCCTCGAGAGTCGATCATGGTCTTTCTTTATCTATTCGGAAGTGAGATTCGCAAAGCATCCAACTGCTTCAGAATCCGATAAGCTGTCATCTGCAGTTGGGATCATTGCGTAGAAATCTCCAATGAAGTTTTCGGCAAGAAGCAAACAGCTGAAGCATGGCCGGTTTTCTTGCAATGGTGGCATGGCTTCCTGAACTTTGAACAGGAGTAATCCTTACTACACTGAGTTTCCAAGCACATTTTAAACCGGTTTTGCTTCCTGAGATAATCTAATCGTTCTGCTACGGTAGGTGCATATCTACAGGAGTCAGAATAGTGATCTCCTGGGGTATTACAAAATGCACACTTCATGGTTACTTCGTCAGCTCGGTTAACACCTGTCTCGTATCTTCGCGGAAAGCAAGTTTTTTCTTTTGAAAGTCTATTGAGTCGTTCGTAAACGGTGCTCGGTTCGACTTCTAAGGCCTCGATATCCTTGATGATAGGATCGTCTTCTGGCGGCGGATAATCCTAGAGGTCCTCGTTGACAACTTACATATATTCCACGTTTTCCATTATCTTTTCTTGTTCGTCCTCGTGGATGGCATCGCCCTCCATGTGCACCTGTCTTTCATTTTCCGTTTGTGTTTGGTTTGTTGTGGTTTCTGGGCGTGGTTCTTGCTGTAGAGTTTCATGTAGTTCGCTTAGTTGTGTGTTGAGCCTCTTCACCTCATTGTAGATTTTCCTTCCAGTGTCGTCTTCTTGGAAACGTTCCTGACAAAGGCTTCTTCGCGGACATCTTTTATCCTTGTGAGCAATTCCTCGATCGTTTGCTCGTAATCGCTCAGTATCCGTTCGGTATCCTGTTGATCTGTTAGAAGTGGGGCCCTTTCTCCGGATTGTTTTGTGTACTTCTGGGAGGTAGTCATATAAGACTGCCATGCTTTAGTAGACGTAGCTTTTATCGCAATCATGACCGGGACAGCGGAATACAGAAGAGAGAGACTTTGTCGCAAAGTTCGCATTCTTAGAAAATAGTTTTTGATAGTTAGTTCCTTGATTTGGGCGTTTCGCTCTAGTATTCCCCACGGTTCATAACCTTGAAAAAAGATAGCTATATATTCCCGGCCGATGCACCATATAAAATAGACCGTATGTGCTTGATAAATAGTTCCTTAGTTTAACCGCCACGCGTTTGGACAACAGTGAGATATCAGTCAGAAACTTCATTGCTAAACTACAATCTTACGCGAAAGAACGATAACAAAAAGCCTCTGCTGAGGTATAATCTGAAGTCCCACAAATCCTATAACACTTAACAATAATCTCAAATCTCCCTAAACCCCAAGGAATCTTAGAGCGAAACACTACTATGCTCGCTAACAAACAAGGTCGCAAGAGAGAAATGTGAATGTAAACGCGAGACTGAAGAAAAGGTGATAAAAAGGTAGTCGCGGCGTTACGGGCAATGTATTTAAAGCCTGCCTATGTTGTTCATACCATCGCCGTTGAGAATTTTCGACTTTCTCTCCCTGTTAAGCTCGCAAGCTCGCTATGTTATGGGAGAGAGGAAGAATTTCTCGTTCAGCACGAACCCGCGGATTCCGCGATTTAGATTATGTTCTGTGCAAGAATTTGAAGTATCTTTGTGACGTGTTGACCCCTTCCGGATGCAATGTTGGGAGTGGTCACCGGATGGTGCGAATAACTTTGTCTATGTGCATGAAATCTGCTCATTTCCAGCAGAAGTCAAGACCTCTTCTTCGCTTTTTGACAAGCTCAAACAGAAATGGCAACGCAGACACGTGAAGCAAATGGCTTCGACATCCAAAGTTTCCTGAAGGCTACGTGTAATTGCATAGCTGTATTACAAATACGGCAGGACAGAGTGGAGCGAATTTCTGCTAGAACACTGGCGCTAATGGAAGAAAGAAGAAAACAGAAGTTCGGACTCACAAGTGGATTAATATCTGTTGTGCTATACACGTTACTGTGCAAACAAGTCAGATGGTCACTAACGGATGATCTCCGCAAGCACAACGACCGAGTCATGGAAAGTGCGATAGTTAAATTGAAGATAAGGCATGCAGGACATGAGTTGGCGTATGAACGCCGACAAATAGCCCGACTGCGATATCCTGACGGTACCCTAACAACGACTCTACAGGAAGCCATGGCCATTGCAACTACGTTTTATAACGACCTCTACAGATCACGTGATGGTTCCTACGTCTTCTCAGCAATCGGCTCTTTGAGACGTCCGATAACAGCAGAGGAGCTTCGTTATGCATGTAGGAGAATTCGTGGAAAACTGCACCGGGGGTCGACGGAATCCCATCTGGAGCGACGAAGCATCTGATACCTTTATGCGCGGGAGACCTTGTGAATGCACCAAACCACCATTTCGAGATCAATGAGTTTCTAGAAAGTTTCACAAAAGCAAAGACGATCCTCCTCTATAAAAAAGGCGATCCACTGAATATCAGTAACTACAGACCAATCTCTATCCTATCGACTGTCCTCAAAGTTCTAACGAGCGCTCTGGCCCGTCGTGTGGAAGAAGTGGCTATGGAGCTCGTCCCTGAGGAACAAGCTGGCTTCAGACGTAACTTGTCCACTCGTGATCATATCCTGTCAGCCAACTTATCAATGGAAAAATGTAATGAATGAAGAAAACCACTCAACATGGCCTTTATTGACTATCAGAACGCTTTTGATACAATCGAATACAAAATCATTTGGAAGGTCCTGGAGAAGTTTGGAGTGGATGACTGCACAGTTAGAATGATCAAACAACTGTATGCTGCTGGACGATCGTTTTTGGCTTTGGGCACGATGGAGATGGAGATAGACATACAACGTGATGTTAGTCAAGGCGATTCTTTATCTCCACTGTTATTTATTTTGTCACCTCAATCGTGTCTCGATGAAATCGACTGGTGC